TGGCTGTCCCGCTGGGGGTGTCCGCGGGGCTCAGCTGCCTCCGCACCCACGAACGGCCCGAGTTACACACCTCTGCTCGTGCTGTGGGTGATCATTCCGGATTTGGGGTCTGTGGCTTCTGCTGCAGTGCTGAAAAACCAACTTTTCCAATCTTTTTCCTGAGGTCTGATACAATATCCATCCTCCGTACTGCTTACTGAGCAAGTTAGTTGTGTCAATAGCATGTGTTTCTTGAGGGTACTGCGTGCTTGTACTAATATGTGAGATATAATTTAAAAATGTAAATGTTAGTGCAAATGAATTATATTTTTACAGGTAAGCGTCCCTCCCTTTTTATTTGAAGCCGTTTTATACGCTCCTATTGATGACACAAATAGCACAGCAAAGATTGGAAATGGAAACATTTTTTTCACTTTGTATAAAAAAGAAGTGGGCATGTGGGATTCCCTAACTCTAGCAAATGGTAAGTTCTCTACTGTGAAAAGTAGGTTGCGTGTAGGAAACCCAAACTCTGCTAAAACTTTACAAACTATGATAAGCAATGTGAGACTTTGTCTTCAGTATCTGCTAAGTTAAACCTTGTTGTTCATTGCTAAAAATAGAAAGTATGTGAAAACCGAAGAACATCTGCTGGCTCTAGTGCACACAAAACGTACCAGTGTTTCTTGTAAAACTCACATTTTGCATGTAAGCAGATCTTAGTTTTTCTTTTTTAGAGGTGGGCTTGATAGAGACTCTGGAATTTGAACCATGTTGCATTTGCTGCGACAAAGTAGCAAAAGGAACCCTGTTTTAACGAATACAGTGCATAACAGTAGAACTTCAGGCCTAAATTACTAAAATAGTTTTCGTTTTTTAAGCTAACAAAGAGAAACTGCAATATCTAAGAGAGAATGCTGTTCTAAAAGCCCATGAAAAGGCAAAAGAGGAGACAGAAGCAAAAAAAGTTACAAAACAGGAACACAAAAAATATGCATTGGAGGCCACGATGAAGGTAAGCTCAGAAGGGACTCTACAAGACATATCCATATAAAGAATTACCAACTAATCTGTTAGCTGCTGGCAAATGTACCCTAAAAAAAATGAAAAGTACTAATTTTTATTGCAGTGGTGGTGAACCTTGTTATTTCTTTGCACTTAGAACATATCTATTACCACATATGAAAATGATACAGAAAAAATATTTAGAAGTTGCAATTTTCCATTATTAATACTAATGAACATTTCTCGTGAGGAGCTCACATTTTTGTCAGTTGAAAGTGGCAAAACTGCAATCTTTTGTGGCCTTTGCATCAGCACAGTGTTTAGTCAGCTGAAACTGTCAAAAATATTGATTTAAAAAAACCCAAATTTATTAATTGTTATATTTTATATCAGACTTGCTGTTTGTTGCCTTTTGTGTGTATCTTTGTCATTCTATGTTTTATGTGTATTTTGAGATACATTATTTTTTCAACATTTTTATATATATAAAAAGTCTGGTCACTTCATTTATGTTTAAAAGGATTTTTAAAGCTATACAATGAAATTTTAAGTTTGCATATGCAATTTGGACCAAAATGAACTGCAGTCAGTGACTTTCTTAGTAGCAATGTTGTACCTATCCTGCTTATGGAATAATCTCAGAGAGAAGAGGAGAAATAAGAAATAGCGTATTAAAATGAAGCCATATATTTTACATTTCTGTATATTCCAGAGATCTGCGCTGGAATATGGCTGGGAGTTTAATTGTTTACAAATAAAACTTATTTCTGAATGTATCTGCATACTTCCTTAGTAATGGTAGTAAAATAGTTAAAAGGTGTGACTTTCAGAGGCTGTTCAGAAATCTTTAGCCTCCCAATCATTTTTAAGCATCTTTCATAACTCTGCTTGTGTGGTCACATTAATGATGATGCTACAGTTGGGATATGAAACTGGGAAAATAATGGTAACTTTTACTTAGTCGTCTTACTATTATGAGATGTTACATATCTCATAGCTTTATCATTCCAACAGCTAGAAGAAGCTGAAAGAAAAAGAATTGAAGATCTGAAAGAAGAAGAGCGGCAGAAGGTCACCAAGGAGTTGGAGTTATGGAAAAAACAGCAAGAAGATGCTGAGAAACAAAAGAGGGTACAAAAAGAACTACATCAAGAAGTAGAGCCATTAAAGGCCAAAAAAAAGGAACAAATGAACAAAACCAGCATTCTTAATGAAGGAACTTCTGAGACCAGACTCAAACCTACTAAAGGTTGTATTATTGGAGCGTATTTTATTATTCTTTAAAGTGTGGGTGTAACATTATTCCTAGATGTTTCTAGTTCATTGTCGTTGATTAACCCCAGCCAAAAACTCTGCACCATGCAGCCGCTGGCTCACTCCTCCCCCACCCCCCTCTGGTGGGATGGGAAGGAAAAATCGAAAGGGGAAAACAAACAAACAAACAAAAATAGTGGGCTGAGATAATAACATTTTAATAATTGAAATATAGTAATAATAACCATTATTGTTATTATTATTATTATCATGATGAAAAGGAAGATAACAAGAAGAGAGAGAAATAAAACTCAAGAAAAACACAAGTGATGCACAATACAGTTGCTCACCACCTGCTGACCAATGCCCAGCCCGTCCCTGAGCAGCAATCCCACTCCCTGGCCAACTCCCCTAGCTTATATACTGAGCATGTTTTATCGTATGGAATATCCCTTTGGCTGGATTGAGTCAGCTGTCCTGGCTGTGTTTCATAGAATCATAGAATGGTTTGGGTTGGAAGGGACCCTAAAGATCATTGAGTTCCAGCCCCCCTGCCATGGGCAGGGATACGTTCCACCAGACCAGGTTGCTCAAAGCCTCATCCAGCCTTGTAGAGGAGAAGCTGGGAGGGCAGGGGCAGCATGAGAAGCTGAAAAAGTCCTTGGCTTAATGTAAGCATTGCTTGTCAACAACTAAAATATCAGTGTGTTATCAATGTTATTCTCAGCATGAATCCAAAACATAGCCTCATACTAGCTACTGTGAAGAAAATTAACTCTATCCATGCCCAAACCATCACATTTATAATTTATCTTTGTCTGCACCATACTGAACTAATTCTTTTAGTTTGCTGTTATTTTAGTGTCTTTATTTTCAGGTAATTTATTGAGCTAAAGCATGTGATTTTTTAGTTCTTGTTTAAGTCTTTGTAAATACAAGGGCAGGTTTTGTTCTAAGCGCTAGATAAAACAGAAAGCCTTTCTGACAGTGCAATGCAGGCTTTCTGAGGGTAGAGTTCGTGTTACCCTAAGTTACCTGATTGCTGGGTTTCATAGAAATATGCAATCTCTTTTCGCTCTCTCTATCCCATGTCTTGGCCCCACAGAGAGCCAGTTCAGAGAACTAAAACAACAGAAAATATTTCACTTTGGTTTTTTTTTTTTGTTTGTTTTGTTAAGGTTAGTTTTAGCTCTTGCAATTGCCCTGTCAGAGAATCATATAAGTGACGGGCGTAGTGGTGTAAGAGGAGTTTAAGTTCATTTGTGACAGACAATCTAGCTACTAAATATGTGGCATGAGACAGCAAGAACAAATATATTTTTGAACCTTCCCTTCAAAAGAACAAGTCTAAACTTTTCTCAAGCTATTAGAGGTTTAGTTCTAATGTGCAGAATTTCTAAATTAGGTGTACTTTGGGCTTTGGTGGAAAAACAGAAAAATTCCTTTTGCTTCATTTTTCATTTCCAGCAATCCAATTCTCTTCATAGTTCCTGGTTCCTACGGTATGTTTTCGGAAAATTTAAAGGAAGAACAGTTACCAGCTCCTCGATCTGCTGCTACAATTAAAATCAACTTTACATCACGAGTTTTTCCTACAGCTCTGCGAGAATCTCGCGTCGCAGAAGAGGAGGAGGTAAGGATTGCTCTCTGGTTTTGTATGATGCTTCTGCTGTCTTCCAAGGCGGTGAATTATTTACTGTTTATTCTATAAGTTGACGAAAGTGTTACTGTGCCAAGGAATGTTGCCTGTGCAATACTCTTCTCTTCCAAGGCAGTCTTATTTAAAATAAGATTTAAACAAACACTTTTATATAAAAATTATTTTTACCAAGCATGTGATTGTGCAGATTAATAAATAGCATGTTCCTTTTTTTGGGAGGGGAAAAAAAGGCAGCAATATGAATGGAATTCCTTGAAGTACAAAATTTGAATTACAGAATCATAGAATCATTAAAGTTGGAAAAGACCTCAAGGATATTTAAGATTCTTTAAGTTCTGTTTTCTTAAAAAGAGGCTCACAGTTAACTCTTTTGAGCTTTATTGAATGAACACAGAGTCATTCTGGAAGTTCAAACAAACAAAAATGTATTAGTAATGCAATAATCTTACTTCTCACATAGTAAAATATTTGGGGAAACTTGGAAGTTTTTCATATCTGACATTATTAAATGTAAAAATATGTGGCAAATAGAATTTTATTGATAGAAGTGAGTGAATGGATGAAAGCAAAATACTTTTTTTGATTTGAATTTGCCTTCAGAAATAATACTTGCACGTTGTATATTTGCAGTGGCTACGCAAGCAAGCAGAAGCTCGAAGAACAGTAAGTGCTGATTTGTCTGAGCTGGAAGATTTAAAAGAAGAGGAGAAGAATCCAGATTGGTTAAAGGACAAAGGGAAGTAAGTTCGATTCCTTTTGAAGGTGTGTTTAAAATGAAACATTCGTTATGTAGTGTGTATCTATTGTTTAGTTTTGATATTTTCTGTTTATCCTCAACACAGATGGTGAATGTCTACATAGTAGAGAATTTATTGACAGCTTATTGGTCTGATAAAGTCATGAGATGCAATTGCTGAAGCTCATGATCAAAATCATTGTGAACACATAATGCATATTCTTCTAAGAGGACAGTTAAGGCAGGTGCAGTATTATACCTAGGTGGATTTGTACTTTTTATTGAGAGGGTAAACATCTGTCTAAAACAAACTTTAGGAATTTTATAAAAACTATGGTATGTTTATATAGCTGTGTTATACAGAAATGTTTGATTAGGCAATCTTAATCAGATACATAGCTTTCAAAATTAGTCCTGTGTCTGCATAGATGTGTCCACCTCTTACTGTTCTTCATTGCTTTTAAGCAGTAACTATTTTTGTGAAGTTGTGTGTCTATATGCTTTATGGTCAGAGTCGAGTTTGACTGAACTTCAGGTATGTTGTTTTTGGGATAGGCTATAAATGGCCATTTCCAAGGAAAAGCTGCTAAAACTTCAAATTTTTGAAAATGAATTGTTAACAGTAAATAGGTATTTATTTTGCGATATATCACCTTGTTTAAAGTGCATGTTTCACTTTTTGTTCTATACTTAGCAAAATGTTTGCAACGGGAAACTATCTTGCAGCTGTAAATGCATATAACCTCGCAGTGCGGCTAAACAATAAGCTTCCCCTACTGTATCTGAATCGTGCTGCTTGCCACCTTAAACTGAGAAATTTACATAAAGCTATTGAAGATTCCTCTAAGGTATAAATACATAGGTTCTCAGACTGTCATTTTATACATGATTGTGACTTATTACTGTGATGCTTCTGTTTCAAGCAGATCTGTAAATACTTGTTAGTGCAATTCAAACTTTTTAAATTCACAATTAATATAATGAAGCCATGGTGAAATGTTAAAATGTGATAGCGATTGATTAATGAACTTTCAGAAATTTAAAACAAAACAAAACAACAACAGAACCCCAAACCATGCTTCCTCACATTTGGGCCAAATGGCTGTATGTTGACTCTGTACATTGTTTCTTTACACGGCAAATATTCTAGCAATATATACACTTGAAAAAAAAAAAAAAAAAGATGACAGCTTTGAGCAGAAAAATATGAAAATGTAAAAATATACACATACCTTTTGTATTATGTTGTGGTGTTCTTCATTTGGTGGGATGAAAAAAAAGTTGGTGGTGATGAGGAGGATACCTTAAAAAGACCCCAACAAACCAGACATTTTTAAAGAAGGACTGTGTCGTCTCGATGTTTTAGCAGCCATTATTTGTGCAGTGAGATAGGAGTGATCTCAAACGGCACCTGAATAATTTGGAGAAAGTTGTCCCAGAATTACTATTTTTTGAATAAGTACTTGAGTCTGAATTTTGTTTTTTTCTGGTAACTACTGCTACAGCATGTGCTTTTTTTAGAGCTGCTATTTTTTTTCTTTTTTTTTTTGGTAGCATGGTATGTAATATAATGTATCAGATTTCATAATTTGACTGTAATGAACATCTAACCAGTATTTGTCACTCTTTAGCCATGGCAATGAAACTGTATTTAGCAAACAGTGGGGTGGCAGCTACAATTCTTAAAGAATGGATCCACAAGCCACGTAGCTATATTTCTATAGTTACTTTCTATTTCTATTTGAATAGTTATTATGTTACTGCATAATAATAGTAACTAGGTGAGAGAAGTGTGTGTAAATTAGGAAAAACCCCAAAATTATGCAAAATCTACCTCTAAATATTTTGTGTGTTTTCATTTTTAAAGGCATTAGAACTGCTGACACCACCTGTTCCTGATAATGAGAATGCTCGAGTGAAAGCGTATGTGAGACGTGGAACAGCCTTTTGTCAGCTGGAATTGTATACTGAAGGTGAGACCTTGCATGCACATGGATTTATAGTGACCTGCAAGTAATTCTGTCTAGCTCAATTAAACTGCTCACACCTTTATTTTTTCAGGAGAAGCCTATACAATCTATGTCTCTTTTTGTTACGAACCTTTATACCACATTCCTTAATTTACTGACTAATTGTAATTTCACTTGAAAAATTTTTGTAAGTTTTAAGAAAATTGATTGTAGTCCTGATTTAAGGAGTACAAATTAGTTTCTTCATTGAGGAAAAGGCTTCAGTGAGTTGTGTATCCTCTGTTGGCTCTACCGGGTAGTCAGTCTTTCTGTGCGTAGTGGCCAGCTATTGACCACAGCAGCTTGGTGGCTGTGGAAGGTGTCAGTGAGGAACGATGAGAGGTCAGAAGTATTTGCACTGGGAAGCATTCAAATGTAGGATGCAAACTGGTATGAAACTAGGTTTGCTGTTCAGGAAGTAATGTTGTATTGGTTTTGAGATTTTATTTACAGAATTTCTAACTATAGAACAAAATAACTTATAATAACCTGAAATATTTCTAAAATATTTGTGAAGTGCTTAATAACATATCTTTGTAAAATGATATATGAAAGTCATATTGATAAGCAAATGTTTCATCAAGTAATGTGATTTTTGTGAAAATATCTGAATTAAGTGTCCCTACTGAGCTCCAAGAGTATCAGTTTAGTTTTGAAAGGCAAATTTACAAGTGCAAGTTGATAACAGGATGTGAATAATATTCAAAATGTCAACGTTGAAATACTAAACTTTTCAGATCAGTTACCTTTTTCTACCCTTGAATCCCTTCGTCATTGCCTTACAGCTTCATTTGCACTTGGAAACCTTATAAAAAAAGACAATTAAACAAGATTTTATTTTACTTCCAGTACTCATGGTTTGCATTTTTTTCCCCCACGCTCCAGTATTCACAGCTCATGTCTTTTTTCTTCTTGTTTTCATGCACTTTCATTCTGTTATTCAATTTTTCTCTTCTGCAGAACACTTTAGAGCATTCCTCTCGTGCATGCATGCATATATGTATGTATATATATGAATGAAGAGGCTCTGTTTTCATGTTTCAGTACCTGAAAATGTTTATGTAGTAGAGTGTTTCCAGTAAAATGGTTTGTAAAATAATATAAACAAAATATAAATTTATTTACTGACAAAAATTAAACCTAATGTAACTCTGATTCCATCTTGCTCAATAGCAAAACTCAAGATTCAATACTTTGTGCATATGAGTAGGGAGCAGTTACTTCCAGTTAGTTGCTAAAGAGGATGCTCTTGCATTACTGATTGACATTAATGTATCTATATTAGGTCTCCAGGATTATGAAGCAGCTCTCAAGATTGATCCTAAAAATAAAACTATAGAAAAAGATGCTGAGAAGATTCGACACCTAATTCAAGGAACAATGCAAGATTCTTAATTTAAAAAAAAAACAAAATCCAGCTTTGCGAGGGATGCCTTTTGACAGCATCAGAAGGAATCTTAGTTCTCTTCAATATGTTGTTAACTAGACATTTCACTCAGAACACCTACAGAATTGGTAAAAGATTGGATACATTAATTACTATTTTTGGAAAATATATTATTATAACAAATATGATTATATATATTTTATATCATTTTGATACAAAGTTGTAATATTTTTGTTTTCTGTGAAATATTGGTGGGCCAAATATTAAAACATGTCTTTGGTACTTGATTTAAAGTTACTCATAACCAAATGAAATATTTGTCTGGAAATATCTACTGAATCTAGACAATGGGTTTTCAAAAAACTTCAGTAGCACCATATAGTCAGCACCTGTTAAACTCTTATCTTTCTGTTCTGAAAGCTGAAACAGTTATGTGTTATATGGTTATGGTTATATACTTTCTTCTTTTCTTATTGTTTATAGTGTTCGACACATCTGAAACTAAGCCAGTGAATTTAGATACTCTAATTTAGGCATCTCATTTGGAAAACCTGCACCTGGGAGCCAGAGGTAGATTTTATGTACTGCAGAACATTCCTTTTAATATTAAGTAATGTGCATTGAAAATTTTCAGACTATGGTGAAACATTTGTTTAGGCTGACCAAACAAGGTAATTGGAAAAATTATAAACCTGTAGTGTTGTGTTGTAGTGTAGTGGTAAATTAATCCTTTGATAAATTGTCCTATCAATGAATATGACTTACTTCTTCCACCCTAACTACAATTACTAATCTTACAGTGTAGCTGTAAAGCATATTCTAAATCAAAACCATTATTATTTATATGAGAATGAGCTGGTATTTTAATTTGTACTCTGTTGACGATGGCCAGTATTTCAGGAATACTGGTGTGACTAAAGATTCTCAAAAAAGGGACAATCCAGGTGAGGTTACAAATGTAGTACAATGGCATGAGGTGTGACACTGTGCTTTGACGTCCTGTACCTGTTGTTTTGGATAGTGGAAGAATGTAATATAGAATTGTATTGTGTTTATATATGTTAGTGTTTGTATTACCGTGACCACCTGCAAGGACTTGAAGTGGTTCTGTTTTGCTGGGCATTCTGTCCACATTGTGACCGTTTCAGTTACACTCCTTTCAGTAGCAGTTTTAGCAGACTTCTGAATTTTCCACATCAGTTTCTGGATACCATTTATGACTAATATCTGTCTTTAGAAGAAAATATTTATTATGCAGATATATGTTATTCTGTGTAAATTTTATCCTCTTGGAGCAGGGAGAAGGTCACGGGTGTTGCTTCCAGTTGCTTTAGTTAGAGCCTTGAGAGGAGTGCTGAGGTGAGTCAGAAACGTCTGGGGTAGCTGCTGGTCCTTCTTTCCTATGCATACCTACTGCATTGCAGTGGAAGGAGGTGAAAATACTTTATTTATATCAGTTGGAAAGAGGGCAGTGTGCGAGCTTTAGTGCCTCAGTCGAGTGTAATGGCATACTTGCCAAAATATGGCTCTTTTCTTTCATATAATTACTGAGGGGAAGTGGAGGCTAAGGAGGAGAGACACTGGCAATGTGAAGAAGAAAATGCAAAGAAGCAGATGCTGGTTGTAAGTTCCTGATTTTCTGTTCTGGTTCCAGAGTCTGTTAGAACAATCTGTATACATCTGTATAGGCTATTTGTATTGTAGTGGTTTGTTACAGCTACTCAAGGCTATTTTTGATGTAGACCTTTTTCTACTGCTGTGAGATAGAAACAGTGCCCTCTTTAAAGATTAGGGAAGTAAATGTTCCTGGTGGCATGAACAATATCTGCCTGTTTCATGTTATTGTATTGGGAGCAAATAGATGTTAAACTTCTCACTTCAATACCTGAGCTGACAGAGTGCACGTTACATCAAAGTCATGTGCACTATGCTGGTATTAGTGTCCTGAGATGGAGGAATGTGGGGACTGACTTTAAGTTTTAAAACAAGAAAATACTTTAATTAAACAAATAAACCTTCAGGTCAATGTCTCTTACATTTAACTCTTTCTATAAAATTAGAGTTCCACATTTATGATACCAGTTTTGGAAGTTTTATTTTTAGGTTTTTAGGTCTGATTGAGAAAAGTGTATCATCGAATGGGCTACATCCTTTTTGATACATCTTATTTAACCTGGCAAAACCTAATTAAAGATATTGACAGTTATTCACACGACAACTGAAATAAGTCAGATTTCCTTTCTTTAGAGTGAAGTGTCTGGTCTATGTCTATGACAAAAAGACAGAGATGCATTTTTACAGAGTATGCTGTATATTAGGGTTGTCATATACCCTACTTCTGTCGATGGCAGTGTTTAAAGAACTGTCTGGAAATGACCCGCAAGTGAGTAAGTGTTTTGAAAAGGTGTGATCCACTGGATGATAAGAACGGGGTACCATCTGTGAGATAGGTGGTATAGCACCATATTCACCTGAAGTTGTTTTAAACAGTAAAACCTGAGGCTTTGTCAAAGAACCATCAGTCATGAGTGCTTTGGGGTCCAGCATACAGGAAAACACTGGATTGCCGGGATTTGCACAGAGAGGCAGATGAGGAGGTTGGTTTTGCTCAGTGTTCAGACTTGATGGCAGTTTCTCAGCAGAAGTCATCTTCTTTCAAAAGGAAATGGATTTTAATTCAGTCTTTCAAATAACAGGGCGAAGCATTTCAAATTTGTTAAATGTTTGTGGTCATAGCAAATGTTGCTCAAGACATGTATTGAAACACATGCACGGTGGAGAGTGAGGAACTTAAAAGCATTTCAAATTTCTTAAATGTTTGTGGTCAGAGCAAATGTTGCTTAAGACATATATTGAGACACATGCACGGTGGAGAGTGAGGAACTTAACAGTGCAGACTTTTGGCCTTATTTAGTAAACTGTGGACAGTGATAAATGGACTCATATTGACTATGAAGTATAGAAAAAATGGTAATTTGCATCAATTCTGCATTAATTATAATCTTGAGCATAGAAAATATCTTAATATGTGTGGCAGAAATAATTAGTATGGATCATTAAAATATGAATGAGAGTATGAATATAGTGAGGCTTTGTGGATGGTTTGCTTTTTACTTTTCTAACATATAGAAATATGCATACTAAAACAGAGCCCTAAACAAACCTCCAAATGACTGTACTTCCTCACTCATGTTCACATGCATGCGGTTTTTTTTTTCCTCCGTAGAGAAATTAACATATGACAGTTCCTTCTCAGTGCATTCATGGGAAGTGCTCTAATGCTGCATTAATGAGCATGCGGTACAGCTGCGCTGCATAAGGTACTTCCCTTGGTTTGCTGAGCAAGCCCTTCAAAACCCGCTGTTCTTCAGAGGTGCAATGGAATATTTTTTCTTTGTTTCTCAATCATGTAAGAGACAAAACATTTTACATTGCTAGCTTAGATAAAACTCAAGTGAGAAATTCTGACTTTTCCTTTCCTTTGCTTATTAATGAGGTCTGTTGTTGTCTCTTGTTTATTTTTTGCACCGGTGGGACCTAAATCTCTGAGCTGGAGGATCTGCTCAGCGGATGCTGAGCCCCTTGATGCGATGTGGCGGGGGTGTAGGAGCTGCCTTCCCCCAGCCGCGGGCAGCTCTCGGGCGGGGACCAGCTTCTCCTGAAGCACCACGGCCGCAGGCGCCTTGGTTCCCAGCCTGTGCTGTTGGGAGAGGTGCCAGGTTAGTGCACGCACCGCCCGCAGAGGTTTTCCACCTCTCCAGGAGCAGCAGAGTCGAACATTTCTAGCCCATCCTCTGGCCC